CAGAAAGCAGCGCTCCATACTTTCTCATCACGTAGTAACATGAAGCATGGGGACGGTTTCCCTGCTAATCAGGAAGCCAGGTGGCAAGTCATTACACGCCGCCTGGCTTCTTTAATGGGACTTCCGGTATCGGTATTCAGTATCGGCGAGTACTGAAAAAAAAATATCGGTACTCGTACCCTAAACCGAAAAACCGGTATCGGTGCATCCCTATGACCTAACATGCTAAAGTCCATATATCCATCGCACTCGTAACCACTGTTCTGTAGAAGTTAAGTGGGTCCAACGGCTGTCGACGGATGGCCACCGTCTCTGCACATGGATAGAAATAAGGACACCGGGTTCCATACTTCTATCCATGTTACCTAACATGCTGTGCAGACAAAGGAGTGTATTTATAAGCAATGCGCAGAGCCAGGCATCCTGAGAAACTTCTTCAGTGCGAATGGAAGTAAAAATGTGGCCAGGACAGTGGAGTAGTGGTTGGCACTTCTGTCTTGTAGCACCGGGTCACGGTTCAAATCCCGGCCAGGTCACTATCTGCAAGGAGTTTGCCTGTTCTCCCTGTGCTTGTGTGGGTTTCCTCCGGGTACTCTGGTTTCCTCTCACATGCCAAAGATATGCTGGAAGGTCAATTGGTTCCTGTCTAAATTGGCCCTGTATGTATGCATGTGAGATAGGGATCTTAGACTCTAAGCTCCTCAAGGGTAGGGACTGATGTGAATTTGCACTATGTAAAGCACTGTGTAAAAATTGTCGGCGCTATATAAATACCAACAATAAATAATGAACGTGTCTGGCAAATGTTCTTTCCAAGTCAGATGTATTGTCACGACAGTACCTCATTATGGCCACTAGATGGAGCTGAGGAGCATAGGAAATAAATACTAATTCCCCTACATCAGGGGCGGGCATCGTCAGCCCTCCAGCTGTGCTTTAAATATTGTCAGTCTTGCAATGCCTCATGAGACTTGTAGTCAACAGCTGAAGGGCCGGAATCGCCCACCACTGAACTTAAGCTACATAAGAGGGATATTGGTCAGGAGTGTGATGGGACGCTCCATAACAGGCGGAGGGCCGCTGTTGCCCACTCTCGCCCTACAGGAACAAAAGCAGCAATAAAATGCTGACGGATGTCCAAGTCCTCCAACACGCTTTCCGAAATTGCAAACAAAATTGTTCTGGCGAAAGTTCTACCTTCACATGTACTAATGTCAACACCTAAAATACTTATCTTGCATAGAAAAAGCACTGCTATGGCATGCTGATAGTCACATGACTAAATGCCTTGTCATTTGGTCACATGACATCTGCTGAATGGGAAGGTCAGTGTGATGAGTAGCTTATATGCCCCTTAGGCCACGCAGTTCAATGCAGGCTGCCTAGGGATCCTGCATATATTAGACTATATTAAAACTTAACTGAACTGTGTATTCTTTATTAAATCTTGGTGAGCTTTGTGTATTTCTTCCAGATCTGTGTCAAACTTGGAGCTTCCTGTAATAAAGACCGGTCACTGCTGCTCTATCTCCTTGTGCAGGGTGACTGGTCTTGTCTCCGCCCCCTCCTGTAATAAAGATCGGTCACTGCTTCTCTCTCTCCTTGTGCAGGGTGACTGGTCTTGTCTCCGCCCCCTCCGGTAATAAAGATCGGTCACTGCTTCTCTCTCTCCTTGTGCAGGGTGACTGGTCGACTCTCCGCCCCCTCCTGTAATAAAGACCTGTCACTGCTACTCTCTCTCCTTGTGCAGGGTGACTGGTCTTGTCTCCGCCCCCTCCTGTAATAAAGATCGGTCACTGCTTCTCTCTCTCCTTGTGCAGGGTGACTGGTCTACTCTCCGCCCCCTCCTGTAATAAAGACCTGTCACTGCTTCTCTCTCTCCTTGTGCAGGGTGACTGGTCTACTCTCCGCCCCCTCCTGTAATAAAGACCGGTCACTGCTGCTCTCTCTCCTTGTGCAGGGTGACTGGTCTTGTCTCCGCCCCCTCCTGTAATAAAGACTGGTCACTGCTGCTCTCTCTCCTTGTGCAGGGTGACTGGTCATGTCTCCGCCCCTCCTGTAGTTTTCTACAGGCAACGTGCAGAGAGTGGAGCCTTGTGGGCCCCTCCTACAGCTCTGCTCTCTGCACAGGCTATGTACAGCACATAAGTAACAAGGTAAGAGCCTGCAGCCAGGGCTGAGACATTTGTAAACACTGCACGGGTGCCAGGATGTCCATGATTGTGTCATCTCTGAGCTGGCATCTCACCGCAGGAAGTAGATGGTGACCCTGGATGATGCCTGAACAAAGATGGTGCCATCCTTCTGGAGAGAAAGAATGAAGGCATTGTTAGGGGGAGCAATGTGATCTCTGTGAGAAGGAATACTGTACATACCTGGAAGGGTTCCACTTTCCTGTCGCTTAGCATGCATACATCTGACGCTAGGTCCATCTTAATACAGCTGGATAGGAAGATGAAGGCCGTTATTTTACTGCAGATCTGCTTTAAATGTGATTTTTTTTCCTTTAATTTCCAGACTGCTGATTCTCAGGTCTCAAAATTCTCTCCATCAGTTTCCTTAACTTGCTACAATTTTCTTTTATTACAAGAATAGCTCTCCATCTTGCCAGAAATTCAGCTACAATGACTAATGCCTGGAATAGGAGATTTCATCCTGCACAGTTCTCTGCGAGTGTTAATGAGGGAATCTTGACATCTACCCACAGAATTGACATGTGTTCATTTCCCGCTATTGGCATCAGTGCTGCAGTCCATCGCCTTCCTTTCAGTACATAATGAGCTTTCAAATGAAACAGAAACAATGTATCAAAACCTGTTTAAATAATCTGTAAGGGCACCGCGCCACCCCTTCGTATACACACCGCTGCAATATACTGTGTGTGCAGGGCAACGTAATACTACAATGATGGCAGAGGAAATACACATAAACAGTACAGTATATATAAAATGCCGCGAGGAGGGGGGAGCCATGTAAAATGGACACAGCAGGTGTACTGACCCGGGAACTCAGCACAGGGATGGTGGGAGCTCCTCATAATGGGCACAGCACATGTACAGACCCGGGAACTCAGCACAGGGATGGTGGGAGCTCCTCATAATGGGCACAGCAGGTGTACAGACCCAGGAACTCAGCACAGGGATGGTGGGAACCCCTCATAATGGGCACAGCAGGTGTACAGACCCGGGAACTCAGCACAGGGATGGTGGGAACCCCTCATAATGGGCACAGCAGGTATGTAGACCTAAGAACTCAGCATAGGGATGGTGGGAGCCCCTCATAATGGGCACAGCAGGTGTACAGACTCGGTAACTCAGCACAGGGATGGTGGGAGCTCCTCATAATGGGCACAGCAGGTGTACAGACCCAGGAACTCAGCACAGGGATGGTGGGAGCTCCTCATAATGGGCACAGCAGGTGTACAGACCCGGGAACTCAGCACAGGGATGGTGGGGGCCCCTCATAATGGGCATAGCAGGTGTACAGACCTGGGAACTCAGCACAGGGATGGTGGGAGCCCCTCATAATAGGCACAGCAGGTGTACAGACCCGGTAACTCAGCACAGGGATGGTGGGAGCTCCTCATAATGGGCACAGCAGGTGTACAGACCCGGTAACTCAGCACAGGGATGGTGGAAGCTCCTCATAATAGGCACAGCAGGGGTGAAGACCCGGTAACTCAGCACAGGGATGGTGGGAGCTCCTCATAATGGGCACAGAAGGAGTGCAGAACTGGGAACTCAGCAAAGGGATGGTGGGGGCCCCTTATAATGAGCACAGTAGGTGGGCAAACCTGGGAACTCAATACACAGAAGGAGAAAGCTTTTCATAATGGGCACAGCAGGTATACTGACCCAGGAACTCAGCACAGGGATGGTGGGAGCTCCTCATAATGGGCACATCAGGAGTGCAGACCCGGGAACTCAGCTCACAGATGGTGGGATCTTTTCATAATGGGCACAGCAGGTATACAGAGCAGGGAGCTCAGCACAGGGGTCGTGCGAGCCCCTCAAAATGGACACAGCAGGCGTACAAATGCAGGAACTCAGCACAGGGATGGTGGGAGCTCCTCATAATGGACATAGCAGGTGTGCAGACACGGGAACTCAGCTCACAGATGGTGGGAGCTCCTCATAGAGGGCACAGAGGGAGTGCAAAAACCGGGGGACTCAGCACAGTGATGGTGGTAGCTCCTCATAATGGGTACAGCCAGTGTGCAGACCCAGGAACTCAGATCCATTATATATAT